TGAAGGAGGAGGAGACGTTAGACTCAGTGTTGGATTTTAGTTCAGCTTCACTGTAAATTATTTAAACTCAAAGTCGTCACAGTGCTGAAAAAATGGGAGCTAACAGGCTGCGGCGATGTGCCCTGCAGTGAGCGCGGGGCCTTTACCTTTGGAAAGACAAACCGGAGATTGAAGCCATAAGTTGAACAGTTTCCTGTTATAGTTTATATTTTAAATGCAGAGTTGAACGCATGGTTATTCTGCGTTATATCTGCAGCGTCTGGGAGTATAAATATCAGCGAGTCCTTGGCGAGGGGCGCTGACCATGAATGAATTATTTTATTAATGGGACAGTTGTTTGCACTTTGTTAGGTACAGCCAGACCTGACATGATAGCATCCATAATGTAAATCTGGTGCTCTGCTGGATTAAGATGCGGTGACTGCTGAGGTCATGTGAGTACAGTGATTTAAACTGTGCGACATGTTGTGTTATGTTGCACAACATAAAGTTGGGTACGCTGGTTATAAAGAAATGGACATGGTCAGCAGCAATACTCAGATAGGTTGGTGTTTAAATGACACTCAGCTGGCACTACACCATTACACCACCCGCAGCCTGAACTACTGATCCAAGGCAGGATGGATCCATGCGCCGTGTTGTTTTCCCCAAAGTCTGGCCCTAGCATCGGAATGTTGCAGGAGAAGTAAACACAGACAAGACGACGTTTTGCAACCCTCTGCTGTCCAGTTTTGGTGAACCTGTGAATTGTAGCCTCAGTTTCGTCCTCTTAGCTAACAGGAAGGACACTTGTTGTGTTCTTCTGCTGCTGTGGAACATCAGTTTCAAGGTTCAACATGTTGTGTTGTGCACGTCTGTATTCCTTGTTTGTTACAAGTAGCTGTTTGAGTTACTGTTATCGTTCCAGCAGCCTATCAGCTATTCTGGTAAATGAACTAAATGGCCTGTACAGCGCTTTTCTAGTCCCTAAGGACCCCAAAGTGCTTTACACATCCACACATTCACACACAGGTGATGGCAGCTACATTGTAGCCACAGCCACCCTGGGGCACTGACAGAGGCGGGGCTGCCGGACACTGGCGCCACCGGGCCCTCTGACCACCACCAGTAGGCAACGGGTGAAGTGTCTTGCCCAAGGACACAACGACCGAGACTGTCCAAGCCGGGGCTTGAACCGGCAACCTTCCGATTACAAGGCGAACTAATCTAATCTTTAACACCAATAAGGAATTTTGTTCCCAGAGAGCTGCTGCTCGATGTTCAATGTAACATAAAGTATCGATTCTTACTTCTGTTTGGCTCTTTGTCGTTTTCATCTACCTGACAAGCTACACGTGGCTGAACTCTAGACCAGGCCAAACTTAAAGGTGAATTAATGAGCTTAAAATGAATAAATAGCACAGCATGAATATGTAAAAGCATCCCACTTGAATTCAAAAGCAGAGGAGCTCTCAGGTGTTTGCAAAGCACAGTGTTCTGCTACATGTGAAGGGTACTTTCTGGTGATTCATTTTTCACTTCTGTGACGATTATCTGGCTGCACACGTCTGTGAAGTGTAACAGCGACGATAAACAAGCAAGCGGCGTGCTTTTATCGCTGGAGGAAGCTGCAGACAGACACATCTCTCGTGGGCACACGATCGCTTGTGATCAGAACAGTGTGTTGTCAGACGGGATCACGTAGTAAGACATGTGGCAAAAAGTATGTAAAAGGAAAGAATGCAATCATAGTTAGTGTGAAGTCATCGGCTAGACAAACCAAAGAGGGATGCTGCACACTCAGGTGGCAGTTATGCTTTTAGACTCTGTTGAGTGTTAATATTTAATAAATATAATATTGTATTTACAAAACCTTGAAACGAGCAACTGAGACTGTGAATAGATCAGGAAAGTGTTCACTAAGAGCGAACCAAACCTTTCCTCTCACAGTTCTCTACAGTCAGACTTGTTTTTGCCCCCTGCTGGCCATCAGAAGAAATACAGGTGTGCAGCACTTCCGGTGCTTTTCTACTCTAATTAATTCATTTTTACTAAAAGCTTCATTCACCCAATCACATACATGCGTTCATTTTCTCTGTACCCAACATTTATGCACACATTCACTTAACTGTGAATGCACTGGGAGCAGCCCAGGGTTCAGTATCCCGCCCGAGGACACTTCAACATGCCGATTGGTGTAGCAGGTTAGTAGGAGACCCCATAATAATGAGGCATAATATGATGCTTCATATGGCAATGAGACATCGACTTCCCCAAGTCTCAAGCAGCCACAAAAACAGCTTGTCAGGTTTCGAACGCTGGTTCTCTGTCAGCTGTATAGTTTCCTCTCCAATCTCAGCCGGGCTCCTTACAGTCCAGTTAGCATGCACACAGGACCACAGTTTGGGTTTACATGCACACTTTCATACATTAAAGACATCTTCCATCTGGATCTACCGGCTTCTATTTTAGTCGTTGAGGAAGCCTATTGAAGGAGTTGACATTGGGTTAGATGGACTCTGTATCATCATCATCATTCTTTCTTTGAAGTTTCATGGTAAAGGTGTTTTTTCCAGCTGAATATACTGAGAATAAGGGCTGTTGCTGTATTTTCGAACAGTATTTGGAACTTGGATCCATAATATGTCAACCTTTACTGAGACCATATTTGCAAAAGAGTCTCTGACTATATATTGTACACTCTTGTTTGTCCACAAATTCTGGACAGATGGACAGTGCAAAACATAAATATGTCCCCAGAAACCTGCTCTGCAGAGGGCTAAGGCCTGCTCATCTGGATTCCCATCAGAAATCGCTCCAAAACAAGGAATTAGAGGAAGCAAACGGGGTTTGCTCTGTTCTTAAGAGATTAAGGGACGAAAATGTTGAGTAAATGTGTCCTAGATCCAAATCCGTGACTCATGTCTTTGATCGCCTCTCCACCTCTGTTCTTCAGGGTCGCCATGTCAAAACTGGCCAGCTCGCTGCCATCAAGGTCATGGATGTCACAGGCGTGAGTGACACACACCGTCTTTAATCCAGCCTTTCTGTTATACTGGGACCGTGTGTGTTATTGGCATTGTGCTGCATCTGTCTCTGCGTTTGTGTGCTTTAGGATGAGGAGGAGGAGATTAAAGCCGAGATCAACATGCTGAAGAAGTACAGCCACCACAGGAACATAGCAACCTATTATGGAGCCTTCATCAAGAAAAATCCTCCAGGAGTGGACGACCAGCTCTGGGTTAGTCACACGAACACGTTTTGTTAGCTGAGCTTAAATCAGTCTGACTGAAAGCTCCCCTGACCCACAACGACAACACGTCCTGTATATAGAGATCAAAGGATGAGATGACTGATAGAGGTTTGCAGTGAAGTGAACAGTTAATAAAAAACCCAAAAACTGCACGTATGTTTGTGCAGCTGGTGATGGAGTTCTGCGGGGCCGGCTCGGTGACAGATCTGATCAAAAACACCAAAGGGAACTCCCTGAAGGAGGAGTGGATCGCCTACATCTGCAGAGAGATCCTCAGGGTAAGAACCAAAACGCTGTCGCCTATGTTTACATGTTTCCCACAAAGAAGAAACACCCAGTTGTTTCCCAGAGGAACACCGTCAGAGTCTTTGCAAAAAAGAAAAGTCTGCCACATGTGTGTGGACAAAACTGACAAGAAAGGAAATTTGTAAATGCATCTAAAATAAATGAAATCAAATTTATAACATTTATATAAATATAAATGACAGATTTGTAAGGAAGAATGCAGATTGATTAATTATATGTACACCTGGTTTTGTGTATCTGCATATTTTGGCCTCAAAGAGCAGAACTGAAATAATGAAGCGATGAAGCGATGAAGCTCACGGATTAGCGAGCCTCTCCTCTGCCTCCTGCTCTTCTGTTTTGGATCGTAAGACGACCTTTGCCACTTGTTTCCCCTTGTCTCCAGGGTCTGACCCACCTCCACCAGCACAAGGTCATCCACAGAGATATCAAAGGCCAGAACGTGCTGCTGACGGAGAACGCGGAGGTCAAACTCGGTGAGGAAGCAGCAGCATTTATTCCAAGTTTCATCCTAATTATGGTGACTTGTGTTACAGTTAGAAGGCTCCTGAGGGGCCGCTCTGGATGCGTGCTGTCAAAAGCATAACATGTACAGCTCGGCACTGCACCGCAGCGCTATGAACAGTGTTTTGTGTGCAGTGGACTTTGGTGTGAGTGCTCAGCTGGACCGTACGGTGGGACGGAGGAACACGTTTATTGGGACCCCGTACTGGATGGCCCCGGAGGTCATCGCCTGTGACGAGAATCCTGATGCCACGTATGACTTCAAGGTAATTTATTCTAACTAACAGTCGCCTCAGGACTCGGTGAGCTAACTTTAGGCTTAACTTTGTACTAGGATACATCGTCATGGTAACCTATGCTGCACTAAACCACCACTGAGTTTCCTGAAAACAGAAGATCGTTCAGCCCTCGGTTTGTGGAACCCGAGAACATCGTCCACGGGCGCTTGTATTAGCGACGTGTGAAGCCATTTCACACAGTCGTGCTGGTTTTGTATTGATCCTATCGTTGGTAATGATTAGGGTTTAGTTCATATTGATTCTGTGAGGTTAAACAGCACAGCTGGTGTTGCACAGACGCCAGTTTTGCCTGATAAACGAAAGGAGACTCGGGTGAAGTCATTAGCACAGGATCATATAAGATAAGTGATGATTTATAGAGCTTGTTTTTCCTGCTAAAAGTGTCTCCTCTGTTGGGCCCCGAGCAAACAAAATGAACCAGTCATTCTCAGCCTCCCCAGCTTCATGTTAGCACCAGCTTAAAGCTTGAGCAGGAGTCGTATGGGATGACCTGAGACGCTCTCGGTCATCCCATACGACTCGGTCAATTTTCGCTGTCTTCATCCTGCCATAGGACAGCATTTGTCTCTGAGGTTTTCCTATAACAGCTCTCATCCTCCATCTCTGTGCTAATGTGTCTGTATGTATCCCTTCAAATTGCTCATATTTAGTTTTGCGTCTTGTTTTAATTACAAAGTTACAGCACTGCTGTACAGTTTATGGGCGGATTTCCAGCTCAGCTACGCTTCATAAATCGTGTTTTTGCCTGGATGCTAAACATTAGTGTAACAGCTGATCTGATCAGGCTGTTGCAGCTCAGTGACGTCTCCGTGTTTGTTTGATCTGAACTGAAGGAGCATTTAAATCTGCACTTAATAAGCTGGGATAAGATCTCACGAGTACAGATCCAGTTTAACAGTGCACGCGTGGTTTTCCACACTAGGCAAACAAACCTAAATAAGTACACTTTAAAACGAAGGAAAAGGTAAAGTTTTTCCTGCTTTTCTTTTTCATTAAATTGCCCTCACGGAGCTCCTGTAGTTCAATTTCTCGTCCGAGTCAAACTGCTTGTAGCTGTGAACAAACAGCGCGCACTGACCTTTAAAAACAATCCCTCTCACATCATATCTGTTGTTTTTTGGAGTTGTGTAATCTCTGATTATTGCTACCCGAGCGCACCAACAGAAACGAGTATCGTTCCTTCAGAGAGCTGAAATCAGTGGGTCTGCAGCGGTTACTGTAAGAGGAGCGCGCTGTAATGGGGACAGGACGAACCCCTGTGGCGAGCTGGTGGAGGATGTGCGCCTACACCATTAACTCCAACCCTCCGGGGCTTTACGTGACGAGAAAGCCTGAGTCCGTCTGACAGCACGAACAGCTCAGATCTGCACCTAAAAACAGAAACATAATAATAATAATATGGTTGAAATGTTAAAGACGGGCATCTCCAGCACAGGCACAGATGGGGAGCTGACGGTATTTTTATCGCTTAACAAGTACACCGATTGGCGCGCCGATCTCCTGAAAGTGTTGAGTCGGTAACACGTTGGGAGGATGTGAACGTTTCGTGTTTCTCTCTCTGCAGAGTGATCTGTGGTCGCTCGGTATCACAGCCATAGAGATGGCAGAGGGAGCGCCACGTAAGTGTGATTACACCGTTATCAGCTGACACTCACAGCACAGTTTGTCTGCGAGCTAAACGACTAAATCGATGTCTTTTTCTTTTTTCTCTTTCTGCTTTGCACCTCTTCTTCTTCCTGTCTCCTTCCCTCCCCTTCTTTTATCCTGCGACTTTAAATACTTCCTTTCCTCTCCCTTCCTTTCCTTTCCTTTGCTCTCCTTTCCTTTCCTATTCTCCTGTCTTCTTCTCCCATTTCATGTCTCATCATTTCTTGTCTCTTTTCCTTCCCTTTTGTCTTATTTCCTGTTCTTGCTCCACCTTTGCATCATTTCCTTTCTCTCCTCTCCTCTCCTTTCCTTTATCCACATTTTGGCACCTTTCCTAATCTCATCTCCTTTCTCCCATTTTTCCTTTTAAATTTTTTTAATTCCTATCTTTTTCTTGCTTTCTTTCCTTTCCTCTCTCTCCTTTCCTTCCTTTTGCCTCCTCAGCTCTGTGTGACATGCATCCAATGAGGGCGCTCTTCCTCATCCCCAGAAATCCTGCCCCGAGACTCAAATCAAAGAAGTGGTGAGTCACTTAAACGCACACACATGCTGTCAGACATCTCTACACAAACACGATGTGACAGTGGCCTGTAAGAGGGTAAAGCTGCAGCTCTCCCTTTAATGAAGCTGCTGTTTTAAGAGAGAGAGCTATCAGCGATTAACTGGTGTGTGTGCTCGCGGTCAGGTCGAAGAAGTTCCAGTCGTTCATAGAGAGCTGCCTGGTGAAGAGTCACAGCCAGAGGCCGAGCACCGAGCAGCTCCTCAAGCACCCCTTCATCAGAGACCTCCCCAACGAGCGGCAGGTCCGCATCCAGCTGAAGGACCACATCGACCGCACCAAGAAGAGGAGGGGCGAGCGAGGTGAGCAGGCACTAACTCACCTCAGCTCACAGCTGCCTGAAGCCTCCGCTGTCAACAGATGTAAACACTGACCTGAAATCTCTGTTTGTTTTCCCCTCAGATGAGACGGAGTACGAGTACAGTGGGAGTGAGGAAGAGGATGAAGAGAGGGACATAGGAGAGCCCAGGTATGTTTACTCATGCCGTAGCCTCCACTGTAGCTGCTGGTGTTAACAGGCAGAAATCTAGAATCCAAAACTGAAGCACCACAAATCCAGTTGCCGGAGTGGCAGCGACAGTGAGACACTCCCCATCGACTCCCACAGCTTTGCAACAGAAATGAACGGTTTACAGCCTGTTAAAACACAATGATTTGGTCTTTGTAGATGCCTTCCACCTTCACAAGTGTTTAAAACAAAATAACTCACGTGTTTAAATTTATTTAGGGCTTAAAGTTAGAGGTCTGGCTGCTCTATGCTACAGCTGTCTATTAAACATCCTTTCAGCTGACTCAACGCTGACACCAGCCTCAAGTGGCCACTACAGGAACTGCAGCTTCTTGGAACTTCAGCTGTAGCTTCACTTGCAGTCTCAGATTTACTGCTTCATATAACAACCATGGACTAACTTACAGATGTGACACTTTAACAGTTTACGAATGCAGGCAGTTCACGTTCTGTAACTCCACCCTCTCATCTGACGATGCTCACTTTTAGCTCCAAAAAACATGATGGGTGTTCAGAAAGAGAGTTCACAAACAAAAACATTATGGTGGCTAAACTTCTCTTTTATTTAGCAAAGACCTGCTATATGCTCCCATTATTACTGCTGCTCGTCCATAGGTTTGCAGATTCACTAAAACTCAAACAAGTCTTAATCCTGTTCCAGCTCCATCATCAATATTCCGGGCGAGTCCACGCTGAGGCGAGACTTCCTGCGTCTGCAGCTGGCCAATAAGGAGCGGTCGGAGCTGATCCGGCGTCAGCAGCTGGAGCAGCAGCAGAACGAGGAGCACAAGCGCCAGCTACTGGCCGAGAGACAAAAACGTATAGAAGAGCAGAAAGAGCAGCGGCGACGGCTGGAGGAGGTAGATTTAAGACCGCAGATAATAATAATAATGACAACGATAGATTGTTACGTTACACACAGGAAGTCGATTTGTCCTTCGGCTGTTTGACTCTGTGAGAAACAGATCAGAATGATTATAAAGTCACTTTTCCTGCATGTGAAACACATCACACCTGTTTGTTAGCACCTCAGCTCATCCAAATGCCAGGAAAACATGCCTGACGCGCACACACAGACACACACGGACATGCAGACAGCTGAGGTGTTGTTGTGTAAAACGGTTTCCACCTACAGCAACAGCGTCGCGAGCGAGAGCTGAGGAAGCAACAGGAGCGAGAGCAGAGGAGGAGGTATGAAGAGATGGAGCAGCTCCGCCGCGAGGAGGAGAGGAGGCACGCCGAGAGAGAGCAGGTACGGAAACACCTGACTGACAGGTGTCATACGGGGGGGTGTGGCTTCTCAGCACATCTCCTGTCAGTTACTCTGATGAGCGACTGAAACATGGAAACTTCAAATCAAATGATGTAAAAGGAGAATTTCACATATTGTAGATGCTGGCCTCCAGACACCAGGGGGCGCTGTAGAAAGAATTTATGGTAGTTAATTTGTACATTAATCATAAATAAATGAGCTTTACAACAACTAGAACAGGACACAGGAACATAAACTTCTTACAGAGAATAAGAGACTTAAATAAGCTCTCACTAATCTTTGAGAATTATTATTAATGTCTTAGGAAACAACTCGCAGCTGTTACACGAGCAAATTTGAACCAATTGTTAAATAAACACAAATTAATTAGCTCTACTGTTGTAGCAACACATTCATAATAAACCAGATGGTTTGGTGTTCCGACCAAATCATTGATGACTGTGCGCTCCGTCCCTCACTCTGAGCTCAGCTCTGTGTTTTATTGCTTTACACGCTCAGTTAGCTGAAAGCTAAAGGAGCATTTTTCCTCATTTTACTTCTGCTTCACAGCCTGTGAGAACTCTCGTGCTGCATCACTCCTGCATTATTCATGCAGGGTTTAAATGAGACCTGAATTAAAGACATTTCCAAGCTGCATTATGGGAAATGAAGGTTTCTAATGTCTCTAGAGCTTATCCTACAGTGGGGATTAAAAGTCAGCATGACTCAGCTTAAAACTACATGACTGTAAAACTTCATTTTATCTCAAACATTTATGCAAAAATGTATTATTGTGCAGTAAAAGGCTGTGCTAATATTTTAAGCACCAACACAAATAATCCTCCTTTAATCCGTCTACAACCTTTGATGTGTGATGTGTGTAAAATGGTAAACAGATCACTTAAAACAGTCGTGGTCTACACGAGCTTCTGTTCTAACTGTGTGACTACAGTTCATGACGTTTTCCACATTTAAAATATTCAGATTGTACGTTTTTCAAGTTTGTGGCTTTAATGCATTTTAAATTTGGCATTTAAATTGGATTTAATCAAAGAAGCTTGTAATTAGTTAGCTTTTTGTGTTTCTGGACCAAAATGGAAATTCAGTCATGTTGCTTCAGCCTAAAAATACATTTACTCAAACCTCTAATTTCAGAGGTTTATAATTAATGTCAAACAATTCTGCGATTATAGATTACTCTTTACTCTTTTTGTCCCAAAACTTTAAGCAACAGAAAGCAGCCGCTTGCAGATATAATCCCTCTGCAGCCTTTAACGTGGTATCGATCGTTTTATGGAGCCGGTCACTCGTGAAATGTGACAACAGAACATTTTCTAGTCCAGAAAAATCTGTGATGTGACTGAGGGGAAACATGCTACATGATGAGGCTTTAAGGTTTCACCGGATGATGAGGAGCATGTCTGACAGACAGAGAAAACTCGTTTTAACGTGTAAACCTGCGCTACACAGATGTGGGCTGTGTGCTCGTTGTGGTTCGGGTTGTTTGTTAATAAAGTTGCTGATTTTCAGCTGCAGGGTCGCCACACCTCCAGCCTGATACTGTAACACACGAGACTTATAAATGACTCGTAGTTAACTTCGCAGCAGCGCTTCCTTAACGCTCTCTCAGACAGAGATTTCTTCCTCTTGCACAGCTGATTTCACACTGATCTTTAACACTGCCACCTTAATAATAAGCATGTTGTCTTTCTGTTCTACTAATTACGGCCTCCTGCTGTTCCTCTTTTTTCTCTCCTCGCCTGTTCCTGACTAAATCCCTACTTTCACACCTCTTCAACAAATCTCCTACTTTTGGCTGTCCTCCTCCTCTTTCCTTTTTCCTTTTCTTCTATTTCCTCCTCGGGTGATGTCATTGGTTGCCTGGGCTCCGATTCGCTTCCATTTCTCCTGGTCGCTCTCTGATTGGCTGCCTGTGGTGCTGGCTGGGGCTGCTGATTGGTTAGGAGTATATCCGTAGACAGCTGGAGGAGGAGCAGAGGCAGCTGGAGATCCTGCAGCAGCAGCTCCTGCAGGAGCAGGCTCTACTGCTGGTAACACAACACACAAACACACACAGACTGATGAAGGGCAGAGCCTAACGCCGGGCTCAAAGTACCCTGCTTTGATTTTTTATTCACATAAAACTCAAAGTGCCTTAAACTCTAAGATACACAATCTGAAATATTACAGTGAAAGCTTCAACAATCAGATGACTGTTTTTTGGCGACAGCGGGGAGGAAGAACTTCCTGTTAACAGGAAGGGACTTCCAACAGAACCAGACTCAGAGACGTGTTGACATCTGCTGTGATCGGTTGGGGGAAGAGGAGAAAGAGAAGTGAAAGAACAGAAGCATGAACTAGAAGCAGATTTGTTAATCCTAATCCAACCCTGGATTCTACAAATGTAGCGAGCTTAGTCATTCAAACCACAGATGGGTGCAGCTGCCACGATAACTCGTTTGTTATTGAAGTCCTTTTTTCATGGACATTTATAGAACCACAAGTCTTTTTTGCTTTCAACCAGAGCAGTCGCCCCCTGCTGGCAGGTAGAAAAAGAAATCAGATTTCAGGCAGTAGCATGTTGGCTTAGACCCAGAGGTTACGTTGGTTTAAAAAAAACAATATTTATTATTTGGGCATTTTTGAATGCAGCAGCCGTGACGACTAAACAGGAAGGAGAGAGCAGGGGAAAGCACAGCAGTCACACTCAAACCTGGGCTGCTGCATTTTTTGGCCTTGTCGTGGTCCCAGGCCTGGGATTGATGCTCCCGGGTGAGTTCAGTGGGAGGCTGATGTGCAGGCTAGCTTGGGAGCAGCTTTAGGTTTGCTTGATTTCTAAGCTTCGTTATGTTCTGCAATAAGTTTTAGGAGGTTTTCCCACCCAGAAGCACCTGGAAATGCCTCGTTTGTCTGATAAGCGCTAAGGATTCTACATTATACCTGGTGAAGAATGCTTCTAGCTCCAAGTTTGCTTCCTCTACCATCACCCAGTGCTTTACAGCCTCCTAATCTAAAGTCAGTTTGATGTGCATTAACAGTTAACAGTGTGAGGCTTTTTCTCCTGCTGAGTGGGCATCATGGTTGGCTTCTTTGTATCCTCTATCCAAGCAACTTCCTCAACTAAACCACAAAGAGTGTTTGCAGCACTTAAAGAATTCCTGAAACAACTATTTCCTGCTGAGCGCTTTGAGTCAGAAGAACAACTACAGAAAAAAGAATCTCCTGAATCTGTCCGGAGTTCAAACAGCACGTTTCTGTTTCACACACTGATAAATCAGTTGATTTATAATAGCTCTGAATCAAGGGAGAAACAGATGGACTGATTACCTTTCAACCTAACAAGCAGCTACTAAACCCCAAAGTAAAGGAAGACCTCGTACTGAGCAGGGAGCCCATAAAGGAGTGGGCTGCGTTCCTAAAACTTCCACCTGATGAAATTCGTTCAGTAAAAGCCACCACTGGCCCCAAAATGTAAGATGTCCGGGCACGATTGGTCAGGTTTCCCCAGGTACACGAGAGACTAGATGATAATCGTTCGAGGCTATGAGACCCCAGCTTTCCGCTCATCTCTCAGAAAGCAACTGAAATAACACTCACTGAATATTTTATAATAATAATGGATTGCATTTATTTAGCGCTTTACAATCCCACTATTCATTCACTCTCACATTCAC